TATTGATATATTGATAAATTGATATATTGATATATATTGATATATTGATATATTAATATATTGATAAATACATATATTGATATATTGATATATTGATATATTGATATATTGATATATACATATTTTGAACACTCTCTCATCAAATTCTCTGATCCCAAGCTAGTATAATATATATTGATATATTGATATATTGATATATTGAAATATACATATTTTGAACACTCTCTCATCAAATTCTCTGATCCCAAGCTAGTATAATATATATTGATATATTGATTTATTAATTTATATTGATAAATTGATATATTGATATATTGATATATTGATATATACATATTTTGAACACTCTCTCGTCAAATTCTCTGATGAATGATAACTGTGGTATTTTTGGCAACATTCATTAGATTGATAAGACAACCATCTAGAGTATAATAGAAGCCGACCATTCAATCAATCCCCCCCCCCCTCCCCATAACCTCTTATAAAATATCACGTGACCACTGACCCCCCCCCCCCCGTCTCGTATTAGATCCACTCAATCATTTTGAATTAATTACTTTATTTCTCATTAAAACTCATTTTGTCAAAAATAATTATTTTATTTTATGAATTTTGAATTACAGAGTCAGCCAAAAGTTTGATTTATGTAAAACAGTCAAAAATTTTATTTAAAAAAAAAATATTGTATATAGCTCTTAATTCCGTCCTTCGGCTGTTATTTTTAATATTTACTTTTTTATATACTTAAAAACTGTAGAGAAAATATTATATCTTTGCATAGGAGTAAGATTTGTAAATGATTTTTTCATTTACAAATAAAATTGTATTCTGATTTTGTTTTAATTGTTATTAAAATAAACTCTTTACATAACCAGACCTCAAAAAAATTAGAAAAATCGATTTCATTATAGAATTTTTAGTTTTAATAATCGATTAACTTTTTAAAAAATTGTTTAAAGATTTAAGTTTTATTTTGATGGTATACCCCAAAAGCAAATAGATTATCAAGTACAATTGGTGGCAACAGAGAAATGGATCTATTATACACGACGTCACAAGTGTCAAATATAACAAGGAAAACGAAATTGTCTCACATTAGTTGACATGTTTTCCAAAAAGTGTAGAAACAGAAACTAAAGACCACGTAAAATTGCACTTATTTTACTGTAAAGAAAGCACTTCTATATATAAATTTGGCTTGTCTGTTTGTCTGTCTGTTTGTATCCAATAAACGTCAAAACGGCTGAACCGATCGAGCCCAATTTTTTTGTGGGACATCTAGGGACTCCAGGGAAGGTTTATGAATCATCAAAATTTCAAATATTTGTCTCCTTCAAAATTCGATCGTCATTAAATTTTTTTAAATTTTGAAAATCCGCGAAATTTTTTGTGAAAATCCGCGAATTATTTTTGTTTTGTTTTACGATGTACACAAAGAGAACATGTTCACAATTAATTTAGGAGATGGGCGCGAAGCGCCCTCTAAGGCTAGAAAGAAGGGCGCGAAGCGCCTTGAATTTATAGTTATTCTAAAATTATCACTATCATTGATAATTTTATCGGACACAAAAACTGAATTGACACTTGTGACGTCAGAATACAACTGTACTGAGAGTGTACAAATCTATTGTTCTAGAATCTATTTGCCCCAAAAGTGTTAGTGCTGCGGCAAGAGTAAAAGAAATTATTTATAAATTGCGAATTCAGTGAACCGATGCCTTAGCAATAAACCACAAACCGAAAATAAACACAGTGGTGGGTGTTTAAGAATACATTTTACGCGGTATTATGATTCTTGTTGCGCACCACTGCACCTATACTGTAGAGGTGCTATCAAAAATATTACAAACAATAAATAATCAATATCTGAATAATTGTTTTTAAACAAATGTTCCTTTTCTGTTTATCTTAATTTAACCAATCCTTGAATGTACCGGGTGTCCAACGAAACATATCACAGATGGTGAATAGTTTTGAATGTCTTCTTCCAAATAATGTTCAGTAATACAATTCAAGTCAACAAAGGTGTCTACTGATGACCAATTTTTTAAAACTTTCCCCATTGCTATGTGTACTGTGAAATTTTTTTAGCCCAATATCTGTAAAACTCTAAAATCAATTTAAGACTTCAGTCATCTCATCTTTACTGGGTAACCCTGTACGTACAGTGGTAGGCAATTATATCAATACAATGAAGACTACTTTTGATTTTAATTTTGTATTTATATCAAGCTTTTAAACAGCATGGATACAAATAAACATAGAAACTTTTAAACTTGTAATATGAAAAAAGTTTCGTTAACAATCAAAACTTAAATAAAAAGTCGTCTTAATTGTATTGATATTATCGCCTTCCACTGAATATCTGTGTAAAGCTGTTGAAGAAGAGTAAATGAAAACTTGATAAATTAGGTTCAAATTTAAACTTTGAAGGTTACCCGCAAAGAAAAATACTTTAATAACCCGAATAACACTCTTATGGTTTATTTTGGTCTTTTTAATGGTGTTTTTTGATGAGTTGGAATAGAGAGCAAAAAATCAATGCAAGAAAAAGACCGATAAAATTCCGTACTGTCGTCACTGGTCTAATCTTTACTGGGTAGCCCTGTATTTCTATGTAAAGCGGTTGAATAGCAGAGTAAATTAAAACTTGATGAATTAGGTTCAAAATTATAAAATGAATGGATAGTGGATACCGAGTATAATGGAGGGAGATGTATGAGAATAGACACTACACACCAGGGGGTGTACAGGCCATACAGATAGAGATGGGAATTATTTTTATTTTTTTACTTTCTGAGATTATTCTCATAATTCAAAACCTTTTTTCCGCAATGTGCAATCCATTATAAATGCTGGTCCATGTTAAAATAATGTCTTTACCCCCTATGGGGTTAATCATTGAATCCCTTGGGGGTTTAAATTTTCATTGGGTTTCTAATTTTTCTGGAAGTAAATGATCCTTTGTTTAACAAAAGAAATGCACCATCGTGATTAAGCCAATAGTTGCATTACTTTGACAGAGAAACAATTTTCTTCATCAAAACCATTGATCATTTAATAATTTAAACATCTGTTTGAGTCTCTTTATATACTTATAAATTAAAACAAAGGTTAAAAAACGTACGATCGTCACAAAGCTATATATCCCAAACAAAGTTGTAAGTTCATGAATGTTTAAACTATAACCTCATAACGATGACCATCTCTGGGAAAAGGTTGATCATTATTACAAGAGCAGTGCTTCCCAAAAATATTTACTAGATTATACAGAGTGTCCCAATAAACATAGGAATTAAGAGACTTTGATAAGAATTTGTGTTATAGTACTGCCTAAATTCATTGGTCAAAAATGTTATGTCTTCTAGAGAATATTCTATACTAAATAAAGCTTCATTTACAATAAGATACAAATAAATATAAAATATAAAGATTGTGACACTGAATAATTTTTTTATTTTTGGTTAAAAAAATATTAAAACAAATGTGAAGATCTGAAACGCGTTTTGTTCTGCGCGATGTTTAGTATTTCAAGTTTTTTTTCGAGCATTTTCTTAATACCCATCCAAATTCTAATGGTCTGCATTATTTTACTTCTAGTTATGGCACTAGTTCTACACATTTTTATGCTCTCAACTGGCCTCGCCTAGACTTGTATATTTATTTTCACATCTTTTATTGAGAAATTAACATGTTATTACACAATTTTCACTATTTCATCAGATTAATACTTAATCACAGATTTCAAAGATAGGATGGAAAGGTCGTCATTAACTCTTATACTTCTGTGTATGGTAATTACTAATTGTTAATCAGAATTTAAATAATTTCGACGTTTTTGTCCTATCTGTGTAGTCTGTGTCATCAGCAAACAGTTGTAACCAGAAAACAGTGAATTTTAGTTGTCAACTCTCTAGTTTATTGAAAATTGTTGTAATTTTTAATTTTCAATTAGTATAACTGACATGTTTATATAATGTTCAGGAACAAGATTTTATGAACAGAAGTAGTTGAACTACGTGGATTAGTTTGAACCACCATTAACTAGTTGAACCGGCGCGGCGTTCGGTTCGGCGTTATATGGTTTAAATACATCTCCTAAGAAACATTTCATTATAAAAATTAAGAAGACAAATAGAATTCCACTGTTTGCTGGTTACCTCTGTACTCAATAGTTTAACTTAAAGACTAAACTCACTCTTAACAAAATTAAACATATACAAGAATTGTTTTCTTTGATTAAAGCGAAAATGTCGCAAAATTTTTCCACATTTTTATGTTAAATGTCTGATTTAATCGTTTTCCTTAGCATATAAATAAATATCATACAAACTTTGGTTTGAAGCAGATTGTTTTTTTTTAATTCAAGGAAAATTATTGATATTAGGTTGAAATTAAAAATATCAAGAGGTAAAGCCAATATTAGGCTGTATACTGCTCACTGCTCATATTCCTAATACTGGATTAGGACTATTAAAACTTGAACTGAGTATTTTGCTTGCAGGTTGGCATGAAAGCCATAAAAATCCAATTTGATTGGAATTACTGGAAAATAAGGTTTCTGTTTCCTCCTTATTGAACTGAAGAATTCATTTACTGAGTTTGGTATCGACGAAAGTACAGTCGTATATATCAATACAATGAATATATCAATACAATGAATATATCAATAAAATGAATATATCAATACAATGAATATATCAATACAATGAATATATCAATATAATGAATATATCAATACAATGAAGACAACTTTCGATTCAAATTTTATTTCTACCAAACTTTTAAACAGCGTGGATATTTTAACAGCATAAACATGGAAACAGTTAGTTAACAGTTAACAGTTAACAATTAGTTAAAAGTTAACAGTTAACAGTCAGTTAACAGCTCATCTTTGTTTTAAAGTTGTAATTAAAAAAACTTTAAAAACAGAAAAGTCGTCTTTATTGTATTGATATAAATGTCAACCACTGTATGATAAGAGGTATAGAAAATAAGAGCAAATATGAGCGGGGTTTAATAGTTAAAAATAAATGATAATAAAGGTCTACAAGTTCAGAACCAGTTATTTCCAGTTCAGATCCAGTTTGAAACTAGTTCAGAACCAGTTTAGAATTGGAACTTTTTGGTAAATAGTTTAAATATCTTCCCGACCAAGATTAAAACTTGAATTTTAATATTATGCAGAAGAAAAAAATTAGAATGATAACAAAATGATAATTTCTGATTACACAACAGGACTGGTGATTGCTGCTTCTGGAATACTTCTAAAAAATAATCAGTTGTTTAATTATTTCTAGAATTTTTAGACTTTAACTTCTTGTAAGGATTAAGATTTCTAAGCATGGAGCTTTTGCGTTTTCATTTCTTCTCCTTCAGCTAGTCATGTTTTAAGAGATTAGGGCTATCATTAAAGTATCATCATATATAGATAGCCATAGAGAATAGAATATATATTATATATTAGAGGGGAATTTAAAGAATCTCTCGGTATGAATTTTTTCAGTTCCTTTCAGCCTGATAGGGAGTTCGAAGTGTACAAATCATGTAAATGTTTACAAATTATATGCAGTAGAGTACATTAATACAGTATGTTCCCTCAGGCGCGCAACTAGGGGGGGGGCCAGGCCCCCCTAGCCTGATTAAGGGGGGGCATGCCCCTCCCTTAAGAAGTCTTGCCCCCCCCTGTAGGGGGGGGTGGAGTAGAGGTTTCAAATATATTATTATAGAAACACAATAGAATATTGACCTGAAGTGTTGATTAGCAGGACAGGGTGGAGGGTGGAGTAGAGGTTTCAAATATATTATTATAGAAACATAATAGAATATTGACCTGAAGTGTTGATTAGCAGGATAGGGTGGAGGATGGAGTAGAGGTTTCAAATATATTATTATAGAAACAAAATAGAATATTGACCTGAAGTGTTGATTAGCAGGATAGGGTGGAGGATGGAGCAGAGGTTTCAAATATATTATTATAGAAACACAATAGAATATTGACCTGAAATGTTGATTAGCAGGACAGGGTGGAGGATGGAGTAGAGGTTTCAAATATTCCATACAACGGTGATAACTAAACAGAAATATTCTAGTAAAAGTTCTAGAAAAATTAATAACGTTTAATAATGATTCAATAACTTTAGAAAATATAGTTTCGTGAAATTCCTGTTATTTCATACAGGGTGTGACTGTGAAAGTGATAACATCTTCATTGATTTGTGCGACCATATTTCTTACATCTGCTCTGTGCAATCAATAATTTCTTAAATTTGATCATTAAACAATACAAAAAAACACACTCAGAACAATAAATACACTATTTCTTTCCTCTTAGCGGGATTTCCAAAATGTGGTCTGTCTCAAAAATGTTTTATTTTATTAAAAATAAGATATATTTTTTAGAACTTTTTGGAAAGCTTAGACTTTCTCCTGAATTATAAAGTCATTTTTTAAAATCAAACACGAGTTCGATGTCATCACTGACTGTAAGCGTAAATTACATAAATTGTGTAAATTACGTAAATTGCGTAAATTACGTAAATTGTATAAATTACATGACCCTCCATGACAAGATTTCAATGTCTGATTCCCAACAGTTCCCTTGAACCCTTGTCAGATCAATAAGTTGAAAGATATTGTCGTTTTTTAGGTTTAAATCTGATAATTATCCCATGGTTAGCAATTCAGTAGAAGTGCAGCAGTCGGGAAACCCAAATTGTAAATAACCGGTTATTGACATTGATATCTAATTAAACCTTGATCAGACAAAGCTTTTAAGAGTACCGTTGTGAATCAGGTATTGGCATTTATACATGGAGGGTCACATGAAATTACGCTTATAGTCCCTTTAAATTTTAATGTATAATGTTACACAATTTACGAATTTACCTATTTTCTAGTTCGTTCTGGTAGAGTTCTTGATCTTTCTTAATAAACTGACGATTTCGTTTCAAAGCATCGCCGGATTTCTTCAATAGGTCCTAAATAATATACAAATACAATATACGACATGACTTGATGATTGTTGACAGAAGCAACTAGCAAGACGACTTGAAGGTCGTCTTTGATCTTTGAAATGATTTGCGGCATTTATTCATAAACCTAATTTTAACATTAAAATTATTTCAAAGATAAAGACGACCTTTAAGTAGTCTTGCTACTGTCATGTTTCATGGGAAACCAAGTACGTTCAGTGTATAAACCAATTCTAGAAGTTAGGCAACATAGGACCAAATTTAATGATTATTTGAACCACCTAAACTAAGTTAAACCACTTCTTCTGTGAGCCAGGTAAAGTCTAAGAGAAGTCGTTCAACAACATCTGTACGGTTCAATTACTATCATCGGCGTAAATATCAAAACATTGAAGACGACTTTAGATTTGAATTTTTTATTTCTACCAAGCTTTAAAAGTAGCATAGATACTAAAAATAAAAACGAAAAAATATGTCAATTAACAATTTTTAATTTGAAAACTTCTTAGAAATCAAAACTAGCAAAGTTCATAATATTGATATAAACGCCTCCATGTCTAGCTAATTTTAAATCTGACCCTTGCTCTGGGTTGGTTTAGACTTAATTCAAATATTTAAAAAAAATATTGAATTACTGAAAGATACATAATTTACTGTGATACCTTAAAGCAGAGACGAAGCTTGTTCTCGTATTTGGTCGGAGTCTTTCCTTCCAGAATATCCCTAGAGATAAATTACAATATTTAGAATTATAGATTAATTACAATATTTAGAATTAGAGATTAATTACAATATTTAGAATTAGAGATTAAATACAATATTTAGAATTTTAGATTAATTACAATATTTAGAATTAGACATTAAATACAATAATTAGAATTTTAGATTAATTACAATATTTAGAATTATACATAGATTAATTACAATATCTAGAATTAGAGATTAATTACAATATTTAGAATTAGAGATAAAATTACAATATTTAGAATTACAGATTAATTACAATATTTAGAATTATAGATTAATTACAATATTTAGACTTATAGATTAATTACAATATTTAGAATTAGAGATTAATTACAATATTTAGACTTATAGATTAATTACAATATTTAGAACATTTAGAATACATGTACAATATTGTAAGCCTTCCCCCCCCCCCCCCCCCATCCCTACTGATTTTTAAACCTTTGCAGATCAAGATTTCAGAGTAGGACTTCAACTTCAACCCCAAATAAAATATTTATTTGATTAGTCAATAATTTAGATTATATGATTGAAACCTTCAAACAATATTTTTGCGCTTCGCAACATGAGTCCTTGATTCACTGTAGTTTCTAATATTACCTGAGGAAAACTCTAGCGACCTCCATGGGTCCCTGGTTCACTGTAGTTCCTAATATTACCTGAGGAAAACTCTAGCGACCTCCATAGGTCCCTGGTTGACTGTAGTTCCTATACTACCCTGGAGTTCCATCTGTAGTATTTTAGGATCGTTGGACTACAAAACATTCATTAACACTCCTCACAAGGGTTGAACCATTAATCCTCAATTTAAAAGTGCCTACATTGAATATCGAGATAAAGCGTTCAAGATCAACAATACCAACACTAGAGTTCAGAGATGGAATTTAAAGAATTTGAGCCGCGGTTTAAATCCGCCAAAATCCGCCAAACCCCGGTTTAAATTTAGCGCCGGCTTAAATCTTGAAACATTTGATACAATTTTAAGTCGAACCAACCATATTTAAGCCGTGACTTAAATTTAAACCGCCGCTCAAATTCTTTAAATTCGGCCACCGATCTATGAATATTATTGTATAGATAAGTTGCAACTGTTTCAAATAGAAAATAGCGATCAGTTTTCTAGTACTAACAATAAATTAGTAAGCGAGGGAAATTTCTATAAAATCTTATTTTAAAGGGACTGTAAGCGTTTTTTCTAGTGACCCTCCTTGCAAAAAGGATAATGCATGACAACAACCGTACCGTTTAAACCTTTTTGTGTTTGTCTAGTAAAGAGATTATCTGAATAATAGTTATAAAAGGGGTTGGAGAACATACAGCACTAGCAGTCCCGCATACCATCTCGTGGGGTTCACTTACAATATTCGGCAATTTTTTTATCATTCAAAATAAAACATACAATAGTAATAGTATCTTTAGATGTGCTAATTGTGCATTATGAGATAGATAGAAAGATAGAGGTTACCGCCATACTATTTCTATTGGTTTAGAATAGACAACAAACACATGACTGAACCCTGATTGGATCATGCGCTAATGGACTCGGCACGCAAGAGTGGTGCGCTACCCACACCACGAACTCAACACAGCACACTTAAGTAAGTTTACACACACATATCTCAGTCCTAGACGAACACACAAAGGTTTAGCGGGTACTGTTGACAATTATTGCCCTCTGTACATTACACTTACAGTCTCTTTAAACATAAGTAGAGTTATGAATGTTCCTTAATAGCAGCAGCAAGTTTAGCTACTTTCAGCTGTATATCCTCTATAGCAACCTCTATAGGGGTCAACACTATCTGCTTCCGGTCAATCACTTGGATCCTTAACAGATAAACCTTGTGGATATTTTTTAGACTTCCAAACTTTTTATTAGAAAAAACTTTTTTGGCTGGAATTTAAATGATTAATTTGGCGTAAATTCCCAAGTTTAATTTAGTTTGGCGTGAATTATCTAGTTTAATTAGTTTGGCGTGAATTGTCTAGTTTAAATTAATTTGGCGTGAATTACCTAGTTTTAATTAGTTTGGCGTGAATTACCTAGATTAAATTAGTTTGGCGTGAATTACCTAGTTTTAATGTATGGGAAGTGATTAACTGTGGTTAGAATAGTTTTCCTCTTGTACTGGTCCTAGAACATTTAGCATTTTAAAGGAACTGTTCCCAGAACATTAAGCAGTTTAAAGAGACTGTTGTCGTAATTCAAGATAACACTATTAAAAAAAATGGCATGTCCGATTTACAACGGTTCTCTTTTAACCTTTTTCTGATTCATTCTGGGGTAGATATCGGTATTTTTGTTAACTTGAAAAATGTTTAATTCCGGTGATCCTCTTCCTTCCCACAGCGGAAATGCGCCGATCACTTATGTAGATTATCACTATTGAAAATAATCTATTTTTTAAGAAATGAATCTGGAAATGCCATTCATATTAATCAGACAATTCTTTTAAGGTGACCGTGGACCGTGGTGAATAGGACATGTCACACAATAAATGTAGAGAAATTAACGACAACAAGAATACAGTAAACTAGTTGGTATAAGAGTGAACCATTTCAATATAAGATAATTCCATGCAAAGCTCATTTCCTCCCTCAACAATATTCATTTTAAATACGGTGGTCGGCGATTTTATCAATACAATGAAGACGACTTTTCTGTATGAGTTCTAATTTCTAACAAACATTTTTCAAGAAAACAAAAAGAAGCTGTTAATTCCATGTTTCCATGTTTATGTGAATCCATGCAGGTTAAAAGTGTCGTATATTGATATACACGACGACAACTGAACTATTTCAAATTTAAAGATAAAAACCCTTAAACATGTTAGATTGGGGTTTTTTTTTCTTGAAGGGGGAGAGGAAGAACTTCATTTCCCCGAGCTGGGAAATTCTGTGTTGGATAATAATAATCCCGATCGCATAGTACTTTTATTATGATTTAATTTGTTATCCCTTCAGGGTACAATTACACTACGGATATCGAATAAATATTAAATTAATCTGCAGATTAATAAAATATCGAGATCAAACAGTCATCTCGATATCCACAATATTAAAGTTCCCAGCTCTGAATGTTGTTTTCTGTTTAAACCTACCTGGAGTTCCCCATGGGCTGACCCCTCCACTGTTGTGAACGGGGTGGAGAATATAAATCTAAAAATAAATATTTGGGTAGTAAAATATTTTGTTTTAGTAATAAATATAATAGTTATAATAATATAATATATAGGGTCAACCTAGACCGAAATATATTTTCAATAAAATGTGGAACTAACATCTACTTTTTTTCTCTACAGAGGTTTTGAGTCCATCACCTTCACCGAATTAAAATAATTATTTTAGTAATTGTATGTGTACTTCTATTAACCAATGACACATCTTTTTGTGAAAAGACAGTAATTGTTCAACCTGCTAAATACATTCTCTGGGGACTTTCTTAAAACATTCTATGGCAGAAGTTTGGTTGAGTCCTTTTAAAAAAAATATGTTCTCTAGAAAACATTAGCTTTAAGCATTTTGTTTAAGTGGGGTGGGGGGGGGGGAGGGGGTACTATTTTACCTTGATATATTATGGTTTCTCTCATACTCTGTTACACGGTCACGCAGTTCTAAATAACATTAATATATGTTATTACTTTTTACAACATTGTGATTTGAGATCAAAGGAACCGTAAACGTAATTTCACGTCACTCCCAATTCAATTTAAATCGTCACACTTTAAACCTTTATCCGAGTACCCATGAGAAAGATATTGTCGTGTTTTAACCTCGAAATCGGAGTACTCATGAGAAAGATATTGTCGTGTTTTAACCTCGAAATCCGAGTACCAATGAGAAAGATATTGTCGTGTTTTAACCTCGAAATCGTTAAAATTCTCTTTTTTGAATCCACTGCATAAATCTTCAAGTGATTTATTTAGAGAAACCAGAAAAGAAAATTTTAAGTTGTCAGATAGAGAAACAAAGATATCTTCTTAGTTTATGCGTAGACAAAGGTTTGTAGGGAGGCGTTGTGAGGCCCTTCAAAATAGGGAGTCATTAAAATATCCTCGACAGTCCCCCAAAATTGACTACAGTGAGAACCAGAAAACTCGGGAATAGAAAGACGACTTTTGGACTCAAGTTATGACTTTAAATAGTCCAATGTACATGATTCCTAGCAATTGTGCAGTTTAAACAAACCCATTTCACGTAATAAGCGATTTAATAACTTACTTGTTAAGCTATTTGCTTTGTAACAACATCAAATAAACTTCAGTATTTAATTGCTTCAATGTCGTCTTCCTATTCTACAGTTTTCTGATAATCGCTTTATAATAGTTTTAAAGCTTATTTTAAGCCTGGTCACTGATTCAACTTAAGCTTAACTTAATCTAAACTTGTTTGCTAAGCTGGACTTAAGCCTGATCTGCATGCACCTATTTTAAACTTATTTTGAATTAGTTTCTTTCTGGTAGAAGTTATAAATCTAGGTTCCAGCCCATTTGGAGGAGTTTCAGGGGGTTCTTCAGGGTCCGGGAGCTCTTAAAATATTTTGTCTTTTTTTCTATAATTTGTGAAGCTTTTACCCTAAAAGAGAAAAATTGGCGAAAATGAGCGAAAATAGTTTTGGACCTATCGAACACTTCATATCAATAAATGTGAATTAGCTAACACTGATTTCTCCTCTTTGACTGTATGCTGTTCGCTTCTGATTGATTAAATCAAACAACTATTCATAACAACCTATTTTTTTTGACGTACACCAATCAAAATGTTTGCTTTAATTTATTTAATTTAAAGAGACTGTGAGGGACTGTAAGCGTAAGTTGGCAATATCTGTTTTACAACGGTTCCCTTGAAAGCTTTGTCTGATCAACTATGAATTAGATATCCATGTTTTTTTAAACTTTTAATTTTTATTTTGGGGGTTTTCTGCAAAAGTAACTTGTGCATTTATTGCTTATTAGAAAAAAAGAGAAATTCACAGAAATAACAACTTGTTGACTCAGAAAAACGAAGTTATCTTCCATTTTTCTTAACAGAATAGGTTTCTCATGCACTAATGTAAATCGAGCATTGCTATCTTTGCATATAATTGGAGGGTCACTGAAAATCAAGCTTACAGTCCCTTTATATTAAATCGGTGGGGTTGTTCCTGGTAATCCCATCCATCAGCACCGACCCTTAAGATACGCAAATCAATGACGCCCATGGAGAAGTCAGTAGTGAATTCTGCAGAGTTTGATGACACGAGCAGCGACCAATCAGAATGCTCCTATTAGATGATATTTTGTGATCACGTGACCTGAATGGAGCGTTCTGATTGGTTGGAATTGTTGGACCCAATGAAGACGACATTCAGAATCGTTTTTGATTGATTGATTGATGAAGACGACATTTAAGAAATGTATTAGATGATATTTTGTGATCA